TGTCCGTCAAAGCCATCCGGGCAACTGCTGGGTTCCATGATGCCATGGTCCATGGCCTTGGGAGCGGCTCGAGTTTCTCGGTGCCGAAGGGAACGAGTTACCGATGGTTCAATTTGGGTTTTGGGGTTGGGTGGTTTGATTTGGGCGGAAGGAAGGTGGGGGGGGTGTTGTTGTTTTTGTTTTGTTGCTTTTTGTTTTGGGGTGTTGGGTTTGAACAACGGCTTGCAGGGTTGTTTGGGGTTGATGGGGTCATGTTGGGCTTGGAGTGGCTGCTTGTGAAAGCCTCCCAAGCAGCTCCACGTCCCGAGTCATCCATGGGCAGGGTACTTGGTTAGGAATATTCTGTTTCAAGGGTAGGGGACATATTTTTGGGGGTTGGGAGGGTATGTGCTTGTTGTATGGATATCTTAAGGGAAGCCAACAGCAAAGCTCGCCATTTTGGTAGTTCCCACTAAAAACAGACACACCCAGGTTGTCCATCAAGGGACTTTGCCCAGAAACCATTTGAACTCTTCGTGTAAAGAACTTTACATGGGCCATTGTTATGGGCCGTTAACTGTTCAAACATACGTACCCCTTGTATACCACTTACATAATGGGTATACAACTGTGTTGCCCTGGTTGGTTGGTCAGGATGACTCTCTTGTGTTTGGCAACAGCAATCCCCAAAGGTCCCAACTCCATTGGACTGTTTGTGCCTAGCCCCCAACCCAGGTCCCACAAATAGGGGCCCATTCAGGAAACCCACTGGCACAAACAGTTTCCTATGGGCCCCGATTTTTTGGCTTAAATCAAATGTTTAGGCCCTTGATCGCCCTTGATCGCTGAAATGAAACTTGATTTGTGCTTTTGGACTTATCCTCTTACACGCCGGCAAACCACCAAAAACAACTGCCCACAACAATGGCCCATGTAAAAATCTTTAGACTTCGGGTAAGCCAGCATCAAGTTAATGAGCCATGCTATCGTGAGCTCGTTTCAATGCGGCATAGAATATGCAGACCCATACTGTGGATGGACGAAATCCGAGCGCATCACGAAACCATCGTTTGTTGGTACTTACGTTGGGGAATCGAATCATTCCAGGGGTTCTTAGATGGTGCAGGACTTCGTCCATCCACAGTACTATATATGTAAAGCAAAAGTTCCAGGACGTAACGGATAGATTGTCATTCACCGAGGGGGTTGTTTGTGGCGAACTCGAAACGTTTCGGAGCTTGAAATTCCGATCCCCTGACTTTGCCAGACGGATCCGACCGCGGGAACAAAAACCACCTTGATCCCGCAGGTGCGGGAAGCAAGATCAACCACCCATCTCAGCCCTACATTTGGAGAAACCGGTAAGACCTGTGGTCCCTACCAAAGGGGAAAGTAAAATTCATGTTTAGGTCACCCATTTTAGGTGGATTTCTTTGACTAGTGCGCTGCCGCCCTTAGTTGACACCAAGCGAAGCGGGCGGAGACAAAGGCAGCTGACAAGAGATGTGCTGTTTCATGAGTCGGGCTACAAACCTGGATGCTAACGAAATCAAATGCCCATATTTGGCTTCAAGGTGCAATGAAAGATTATATACAACCACAAACTCCCATGTGTAAGAACATTGGGCCGCACCCCGACCCCGTCCGAGTTTGGGGCCCGAACCGGGTCGACTGAATCCACTGTACAGGTGTCCAGCAAACCTTCCTAAAACCCCTATGAAGCCGGGTGGGAACCGTGATGGCTATTGGCCCTGGAGGTTGGTGAGCACACAATGACGTTCTCCCAAAAACTTACAGGTTACAGGTCCAACCCAAGAGCATTCAAAGAACCGGAAACCACCTACCAAAACAACCCACCGGGTTGCTCCAAACCCCCTGAACAAAAGGTTCATCAACCAGCCATAAGATTAGCACGGAAGCCCGGACAAAACCGCTGATTTGTTTTCCTACATTTGGGTGATTCTCAAAGGGATTTGGACCCAATAATTTGATTGTGTCCTTTTAGTTTCCCTCTAAACCAACCACAAAGGGTACCCTTCGCCTCAACAAAGAAGCAAGTTCGGGTTCCTCCATTTGCTTAAGTCCCCCATTAAGGGGGGGGGGGACATGAGTCCAAGACTCCCTTTAACCCCAACATGGGAAAAAACACACATTCAGAATTCATTTCAGCAAATGGAAGGGTCGCCTCAAACAAAGACGAGCCACTCATGCGGTTTGGGGCGCTACACAAATGGTTTGGCTTGCCAGTCACCCCTTCTATTGCAAGTAAGGACCTGAACCTAAAGTAGCCAATTGTAATCGGTTTTGGGCGCTCAAAACAGCCCCCCCCCATGCGGTTTTGGGCGCTGACTTACCTGGGCCTCAGATCTGCCCAAAGTGAAAATATAGTGGGTTAAATTCAAACCCATACACTAAACCAACTAAAAATACTAAAAACAGCTAAGGGGATTGAACAAAAGCCTAAAACTAAAACAACCTTTAAGCAAACACAAACGTAACACGACTCAAAACCCATCCGGAGCCGGTCGGAAAGAAACAACTCGAACCGGACGCCTGGTTCAGAACCTGCAAGCTTCCCAAAAGCCTTCCTTCAGCGAGGTGTGCTGACCTGCGGCTTAAATACGGAAACCCAACCACTGAGCCAGCTAAACACAACTAAAACAACATAGCAACCTAACGGGACGAAAAGCACTAAACAACCTAAACACCTACAAACGAAACTAGGCGAATTGACCAAACCCTAAACCGACCTTCACACAAATAACCAAAAACCATTTCAAGCAACCAAGCAAAATTCACAAACCTTTTCGGACCGGCGAACGAACCGACACCGGCTCGACGCTTTTTGGCGCCGAGCCCACTCCGACGGTTGCCCAACGAGGCGCGCTGTGCTTCACCAGGGCCTGGCCCAAGAGAAACTCCCCGGCGCCGCAGCTCCGCGCGGGCCGGCAGTCCGTCTCCCGCAGCAAGACCTCGCCGTCCTGCGGAGAACGGCGTCGAACGCGTCAGCTTCTGCCTCAGCTTCGGTCGGTTACAAAACCACAAGGAAAAGCCGTGGCCTTGCGCTGGGGGTCCGATGGAAAATGCCAAGAGTTCTGGTTGGGGGGCGCGACAGCCTATTGCAGCTGCTGAGAAACTAATTACTCATAAACATGGGTTAATTATTGCCAACCAAAGTAAGGGTTGGTGATTTCCATGTTTAAAGGGTAATTTGAGAGTCGAGTCGGTTTCTCGCAAAAAGGTCCGTATGGGTGTGACGCAAAAATAAGGATTTGGTGCCATCAAAATTTGTGGTCTTCCTTTGGTTTCCTTCAGAACCGGGATTTGGAGCCCTAAAATGGGTGGTCTCCTTTAGCAAAAAACCTTCAAAACCAAAAATCCAACAAAAAACAGTACACTCAAAAGAACTGCTCCTCTCCCACTTCCTGAGCGGGCTTTCCCAAAAGGATAAAGGCCGAGAACTGAGGACCTGAGTCCATTCGGGTATCCGTCCCTTGGGTTCAAGGAATCCATAAGGAAACTAATGGAAACCTAAAATATGTCAAGGCCTTCCAGGATTTCCTGGGCATGCCCAAACAACACACACACACACATTTGCTTGAGTCCCCCGAGAAAAACAAAAATCGAAAAGCCCCGTAAAATAACAAACTATAGTGGTTTCCTTTTGGTTTCTTTTTCCAGCCCGCCGAACCGTGACGACCGGAATGGGGCCCTCTAAGAAAGTCGAGCCAGTTTCCCTGTTCAGTGACCCTGCTTGGCAAAAATAACTCTTTTTGACCATGTTCTTTGGGGAAATCGGTCCAACAAACAGGGAAAAGGTGAGAAAGGAACAAAGGGCGCCACTGAACCACTATGGTTTGATAGTGCCTTCGGGTAGATGGAAGCAAATGGCACCGTTTGGGGTAGTCAGAAGGTCGCGGGAGGGGGGTAAAGGCGCCCGCCAATACTTGTTGTTGGTTAATCAGTGGAGTTGTGTTGCTGGGTTTTTCATGGCTGTTGATTTTTGAGGGGTTTCGGAGTGAAAGTAGATAACACAACCCCCCCAACCTGCCGGAAATTTGGGTTGGGTAGTTTCAATTGGGTGTCCCAATCATTAAACAAGTGACAATGGGAAACTGGCGCTGCCCGAAGCTTTACAGTTGGCTGAAAGTGGAGAAACCAAGGGTGGCCAATGTGGGCGAACAATCACATCTATCTCGGAGGGGGGCCATTCCTCGGCGGAATCGAAGGGAAGATAGAATTCCATACAGGTGTCTGTGTGTGTGTGTGGTTTCCCGCAATTCGATTCGGCGAGCTCGTTCTTGTTCAAATCCTTTTTAGGCTAGCGCCTGCGCACAAAGCTCTCAACTTGCTTGCGCATTAGAGAGATTCCATGGTTGCAAGAGTTCCTCTCCCACCCGCTAAACCTGATTGGGTTCCTGAAACACAATATTCCTTTTCATTTCCGCAAGACATCCTCTTCCCAACTCCCCAAAGTCATTTTGAACCCCCCCTCACACTGTCACTACGTAACCGCAATCCCTCTAAGCACCCAGATATGAATTGCACCCGCTTCTACCCACCACCCTCCATTTGCTTCCTTCCCTTGGGAAAAGGACTATTCAATAGTTCCAGGAGTGATAAGTTCCCCTTTGGCACGCCACGGGGGAAAACAACAACAAACATACATTTAACAAATGGACCCTCAGAAACCGCCCTTCAAAAAGTTGGCATTCACCCACCATTATTTGGGTTGGCAACCACAACCATCTTCGGGTCTAGGCTACTAGGTGTTCACTTCAGCAAACGCAGGCCACGAGAGACGCGACACATCCCGCTGTCCTGGCACTTGTACTGCACAGTCCCGACCATGGGACTTGGACAGCCCGCTTGCAAGTCCTCCGCGTCGTCCATTTCCTGAATTGGATCTTGGGCATTGATTTTGGCTTCAAAGGTGCCCCATCTGGCTCGTCAGATCTGCAAAACGGGCTCATCACCTTTCTCTGGTAATCTTTTAGTACTCTTGCAATATCTCACTGGGTCGGATCCATAAACGCCATGTCACGTGGAACATCGATGCCGTCTTTGATGCCAAAGTGGGATTCCCATTCACACTACTTTCTCACTGCGGGGATTTCTGTGGTGCAGAAATGGCTCTCAAGCCCTTGCACAACCATGCAAAGAATGTTCCGCAGCGAGCAAAACCCATTGACCATTGGCTGTACATCAGAAAGCTTTCTTGTTCGGCCTTAGGTGCTATAAACAAACCAGGTAGTACAACCACCTACAACAGTGGGCCAATAGGGGTGTTGGGCGTTCTCAGCTGGAGGTTGCTTGTCTTGTCATGCAATGTAGGCGGTTCCGCAGGTACATGATTCAGGCCAGGCTGAATCCAGTTTCACCTACGATTGGGCAAGTTTTACAACCATTTAGCTAAACCTCAATTCATCGTCAACCAACGACGGCTCGAACGCAAAGCAACTGTCTGCTGGGCCTTGATCCTACATTTTCTATCCCCCACGCTTCTGAGGCAACTTTGGGAGTCGGTCGTTTCATTTGGTGGTTGCTGCTGACTCTGCAAACAGCTTAACTTTTTGTGGGTCCAATAAAAAGAAAATCTCCGCTGTGTCGAGACACGCTAAAGCCCAAAAGGTCCAACCTGAAGTCCAAAAAATCCAACCAAATAGACATGCAGATTTGGTGCTCCAAAACGGTCCCCTGGGCGAAATGGGACGCGCTTGTGTGGGTGCTGGCGTCGCTACTTTTTGTTGAGGCTCGCTGCCTTTTGCTTGTTGGTTTTAAAGAGCTACCAAAAGGAACCGTGCCATTTTCGGGCGGGGGCCCCTTTATAAGAAAGATACACCCATAGGATGGCTATTTTTTGGGGGTCCCCAAAAAAACACTAGGATGTCTAAATCTACTTCCCCATATTTCTTGCAGCATGACGTAAATTGGTGCTCAAGTCCCCTGCACGGCGAAGGATCTGTGTGTGCTAAAGAAGCGGACCCCCTCAGTCGTTCTCCCTCTCCCTTGAAAACCACCCAACACCTACACAAGTGCTTGGTGTGTTTTGTGTTGTTGTTTTGTGTGTTTGTTTTTGTGTTGATTTTTTGGTGTTTTTTTTGGGGGGGAGGGAATTGGAACAAGGACTCAGGTAACCCTTAGTCCGTGGTTTGGATTGGTTGGGACTTCGAAGCCTGGGCCTTTGAGGGCAAGTGGTTTCCACACCTCCGGCTCCAACCAAACCACAGGGAAGCTGACAGGGTGGCTAGGAGGGAATAAAAAATGAACCGTTTTGAGAGCGGCCGACCATGGGCGGTGTTTTCAGGTATTTCACAAATGCAGGCCCCATGTCAGGCCGTTCTGCAAAGGAAACCGCCAGTTGGATGGCATATGAGCGTCATGCCATGTCTCATTCTCTGTTTGTTTCTTTCTTTTTCGCACCAGCAAGGAACAAAACAAAAATGTAACACACAGGCCCAGTGTCCGGGTGGTCCAAGATGACCATCGGCGACTCCCCGCTCAGCTCATATTGCATAGAGCCTCGAAACCGATTTCGACTTCTGGTTCAAATCCAGCGCTGGAAAAGCTTAAGCATGTATTTGGGTTCCCTGCCACCACTCAAGGCTTGAGGCAATCAAAGGATCGAAAGCTTCCCAGTGGATTGGTACAAAAAAGGTCCGAGAACTATTAGTTTGCCAGAAAATTGGTCGTCCCCAAACGGATAATTTCCAGGAACTCAGGAAGCGAAGAGTGGCTTGCCGATGCAGGTTTTAATATCAGCAATCACAATACCAAACAAGGACTTGCCTATCAGAAGTCCGCAGATAAGAGAACCAGGGTTGGCCGAAGAATGTGAAGCTTGGTGAAAATTGCTTCTTCACCCAAAAGGGCAGTAGACAATTAACGAGTCCCCTGGTCTTTGCGGAAAACGCAGAGCACGTCAACCCGTGTCCTGGCCCGAAACCAAGCCACACGTCACACCAACAGCACATTCACTTCTCACGTGTGCTTCGTTCGATCCAAACCGGCAAAGTGAAGGGCGAACGCGGCTCCAGAGGGTTTCCCAGTTGTGCAGTGAGTAGCAAATCAATTGGATCCCTTTTTTTTTGGGGGGGTGGACAACTTTTCGTTCGGAATCCACCAACAAAAACATGGAAAGGGGGAGAGATCCACGGGTGACTGGGGATCTTAGTGAAGATGCCCTCCCAAACACCACAAAAGCAAAGATATGAAACTAGCACCCCTGTCAATTCGGAGAACCCGGGCCCCTGGAAACTCAAAACCAAAGAGAACCAGCCAAAACGCTTCATGTTCCCAACGAGCGGGTGTTTGGCTGCCCGTTGTCCGGGTCCGAAGTCCCAATTCAGACAAATCCCGCCAGCGAGCGAGGCTCGGGAACTTGGATAAGATGTCTAACGGTTGGAATAGGGAACGGGACACCAGCAGCAAGTCGAACGGTAGGAAACGGTTTCCACGCGCGTTTTGCGGGGTCAACTCCTGGATCAATTGAAAGAGTACTAAAAAGAGTACTACTAAAGAACCTGCCGGGTGATGAACAGGTGAACTCCACAAAACGCGCATCCAAAGCGTTTTCTAGAATGGTGGGCTAGTAAAAAAAAAAAAAACGCAAACAAAGCAAGAAGCAAGCACTCCAGCACTTGTGGTTCACCAAGTTGATAGTCAAGGCTCATGGGTCGTTTCTTGACCAGACTTAGACCCCCTGCAACAAACAAATGAACCCAAACGGCAAACAGTGAATTAAAAACTGGGCTGTCCTGACATCCCCTTCTAGAAGTTTTTCAGTTGTGGGCTAAATGGGAAAACCCTTTTCACCAACCAAACACCTCTTAAAACCCAAGTTGAAGCGGAGGTTTCGCTGGTTCTGAACCGCGGCAAGGTCAGCCGTTGCTCCGTTTGGCGGATTTTTTGTTCGGGCTTGCGTTGGGGCCTGCAGCGCAGCGCTTGCCGCACTTCCCCGAGTTCAAGGTGAAGTGGTCGTTGTTGCCTTGGTACACTCCAGACCAGCCGGAAGCTCCCAGAAGGCCCATCTGTACATGGAACCAAGTCTTCCAAAGGCCTTGTGGGAGCCATGGAAGTCTGGGGGAGTGCTGAAATAGAAACCGAAATCCGGTGACGTTTTGTCGGGCTTCCTTCCTTCATGACTTTGGATATTGGAACTTGGCAATTGGGTGTGGCTCAAAATTAAATAGCAGGGGTTACGAAGGTTTTGGTCCATGTTTCCACTTACCAGAGTTCCATTTTGGTACTGGCTTTTTGAGCCACAGCCAACTAAATTTATCAATCTTTGCGCCAGGTACTGTCGACTTTTGAAAAATCCCTTCGCGGCAAGAAATGAAACCATGGTGGAAACTATAACGTTTAGACTATTTACAGGAAAATCAAATCATTCTAGGGTTTCTTAGGTGGTGCGGAAACTACGTAGGGTTTGCTGGCGGGCACGAAATGGATTGCCACCATCCACAGTAGGGGCTCGGTTCCTTTCTTTGAGGCGAACGGTACTCTTTGTTGGGTTGGTTTAAAGGGACCCCACAGGGGAAAACCGGAAATCTCTTTTTAGGGGGGGGGAGTCCGATCCCAAACATCGAGTCACACCGATGTATGCAGTGTATCTCAAAGGACCGGGATACCTGACCTATGCTACCCACAAAGCCTGGGACGCGCCAATACACATAACATGCAAAAGAGTTGATTGCAAGTCGGCTAGACTTACTGGTGGCGTTCTCGCGTCGCAAGCAAATGGGGGCATTGTCGACAAAGGTTGAAGCAATGCAGAGTGAAGTATCTAGGTGGGTTGCGGGCTGACATGAAAGACCGTAAGTCCGGAACTTCCTTACCAAAGCCTGAGCCACACAAATTGATTGTTCCTGCGAAAGCAAAGAACAACGGGCTAGCTGCATGTGTGGGCACTTGGGCAAGCTGGGATGGCCTCAACCAAATCTGTCACAGACTATGTGTAAAGGTGAGTATCAGCAGAAGCGCAGAACAGCTGAACAAATACTCGCTAGCACGTGACTAAGTGTTCAGCTACTATCTCACATAGCGCGCAACCAGGCATTTGATTGGCAAGCACTTGCACGGTCCAAACAAGGAGGGTATGGGTGTGCTTTTGTCTGAGGGATGCCTCTTGGGTTGGTTTAGGGCTGATATAGGGTTGGTTAAGGGTTGGCTTACGGTGGGTGTCGGTTGGGTTTCGGCTTGATTTCGGCTCGGTTTAGAGTTAGAGTTGAGGGTTACGGGTGGAGGGTTGGGGTTCGGGTTCAGAGTTAGGGGTATGAGGTGTAGGGTTGGTTTAGGGTTGGGGTTTAGGGTTGGGGTTTAGGGTTGGTTGTGGGTTGAGTTGTCCTTATTGTCGGAATGCAAGGGTGAGAGTGCAGGGGCTCGAGGGGAGGGTCTGGGGACCAGCGGTGCGAGGGGAGTGGGGGTTAAGCTCATGCTCAGGGTCGGGCCGGGGCTGTAGTGGGGGGGGGCTACGGACTGGAAAATATATATATATGTATATGTGTATATATATATATATATATGTATATATGTTTCCGCTACTAAACCAGGCAGAAACCAAAGCCCCCTACAGCACCGGCCCAGTTCTTCCACTAAACCGGGTAATTAGCCATGCATTTGAGCCCTTCTGGAAATCTCACTTGAGTGGATCGGCCAACAAAAGTCAATGGATCGGCCAACAAAAGTCCAAGCTTGCATTTTGCCACTGAAATGGTCCAAATTTACCACTGAAAGCTTCTGTGCCGGACCTCGTGGAGTCGTGGAGTCGGGGTTTTGGGTTGGGGTCCGAGCAGGGCTGTGGGAAATGGAATCCACTTCTGTGATAATGTTGGCACTTGATTAATCAACCGGGCGTCAATAATTGCAAGTTGTTTTCCATATTCAGGTTCGCACCCATTGTTTAGGGGGACCAGAATAATTGAAAGTTTTTTGCCCGGGGGAAAATTCCAAAAACAACTACACAAATCAATTTTAATTTAAAAAACCATCCCCCCCCAAACAATCACCCAAAATCCATGTTGACCCAAAATCAATTGGTTGCTCAACCACAGAACCCAAAGCCAGCTGAAACCTCTTAAATTTGAAAACCATCCCCAGCCCTGAAACTGCAAACTCTTTATTAAACCGTGTTTTAAAAAATGCACAAAAAACAATCAGGACAAGGGTACCCCTCACAGACCCCACTGAACCACAATAATGTCATTCGTTTAGGGGACCACATTAGTTGCAAGCCCCCAGCCCCCCCTCTCATAAAATAAACTATCAGTTGCTTTACTCAAAAGCATTCACCTTTCAATTGGTGGTCCACTTGCTTAAAAGCATCCCCTTTCAATTGGTGGCCCAACCACAGAACCCAAAGCCAGCTGAAACCTCTTAAATTTGAAAACCATCCCCAGCCCTGAAACTGCAAACTCTTTATTAAACCGTGTTTTAAAAAATGCACAAAAAACAATCAGGACAAGGGTACCCCTCACAGACCCCACTGAACCACAATAATGTCATTTTTTTAGGGGACCACATTAATTGCAAGCCCCCAGCCCCTCCTCCCAGAAAATAAACTATCAGTTGCTGTACTCAAAAGCATTCCCCTTTCAATTGGTGGCCCACTTGCTTAAAAGCATCCCCTTTCAATTTGTGGCACACCCCTTTGAATGGCTACAGAAAGAACTGAAAGGGAAATGTTTGCAATACTAAAGTAGTATTCCAAAAAGTCTGCTCAGGAAGAAGTGGTTGCAATACTAAAGTAGAATTGCAAAAAGGAAGTGGCTGCAATGCTAAAGTAGAACTGCAAAAAGGAGGTGGCTGCAATACTAAAGTAGAATTGCAAAAAGGAAGTGGCTGCAATACTAAAGTAGAATTGCAAAAAGGAAGTGGCTGCAATACTAAAGTAGAATTGGGCCCCAAAATCCTCCATTGTTTGGACGTCCCAAAAGTGAGCCCCCTTTGTTTTGGCGCCTCCATTGTTCAGGGGGGGGGGCCTTTATTAATCAAGTGCCAACATTACAACAAAAAGGGCTTCCCAAAGACTGACCCCCCATAAGAAGGGGGAGATTCCCGAAGGTATCACGGAAGTGGTTGGATACACCCCGAGTGATCAACCACAACCCTGGGTCCGAGTGGCAGGCCAAGGTCACTGAACCGTTATATCCCGCCGGGCACTGCGCGAGGATGGAGCTGCCGTGGTCCGCAGGGCCGTGTTCCACGCGGACCATACTGCTGTTCATTCCTCGGGACGTGACCGTGACGCTCGTGGCGTGTTTTTGTTTTGTTTGTTTGTTTATTCTTCTTATTTTGATGTTATTATTATTAGTATTATTAGTATTATTAGTAGTATTACTATTATTATTATTACTATCATTAGTATTATTAGAAGTATTACTATTATTATTATTATTATTATTAGTATAATTATTATTATTATTATTCTTCTTATTATTATTATTATCATTATTATTATTATTATTCGTCTTTTTCTTGGAGGGGAGGGGCCCCTGAGACTCGGTTTGTTGATCGGGTTGCCGACTTTAAGACAAATATCCCAATCCAAACCACTGCAAAAAAGTGGCGGTGTTGTTCCCTTGGAGGGTGCCCCCTTGAGAGTGGAAACAAAAAGGGTTGCCTCTTTTTTGACAAACGAATCCCTATCCAAACCACTCCAATACAAGTGAGCGGCGTTCGAAACGTCCGGCTCCAATCTAGGTCGTAAGGAAGTCTGACGCCGAGGTACTTACGCCAGCGGGGGTAGCTTACACGATCAGCCAGGCCATTTGCACAAGCGCAGCACGCTTACGCGTCCTTACGCCGCCACATGTTTGCCTTACGCGAAGGGTCCTTTTGACCACCTTTCTGTAATCGTGATGCAAAGTGGTTTTGAACCCTGCTCAATTGGCGCCAAAGGGTTCATTCAGAACCACTTTGCTCTTTTCTGAGGAATGCCCGCGGCGTAAATTACGGAACAGGATACCTGGGGTGAAAGTAAGTGGTCTACCCAAATACTTCGCAAATAGTCCAAACTGGGATCTCTGTTCAGGTTGACTAAATAGTTTATCAGAATCAACCATTGGTGTTGGGCAGGTGGAAAAAGGCGGAGATTGCGTCGCATGCAGGACTGGCCCCCTTCAGAAAACCCGAGGCTTTGTTCATGCAGGCAATTGGAACCCTTGAAATTGGAACTCGGTTTCGGGGAGTCCTTTGGATCCTTCTCCTCTCCGCTCGTATGGCTCTACATGGCAACTTCGCAGGGTGCCAAACAGGCGAACCAAGGCTCTTTTGAGTATCTGGTGGGCTTCCAAGTCTGGATTGCTGTTGCCCCTTGCCTCAAAGGAACAAACTCTTTGCGACACATGCACGTTCTCCCAGCACGAGGCTTGAAGAGCCAAGCAAGAAGCATTCAATAAGTTTTGCAGGTGTGCTGTACGCAATGAAATGCAAGGTGTGTGCCTGACTGTGTTTGACCGCGCATGTGTTTGTTTTAACACGGATACGTGGATGTGTGTGTGTGTGTGTCTCTGGGTGTGAGC